ATGTGCCAAGTGAATCAGCTATATTCCAAAGGGAAGGCAAGAAAAGAAGAGTGCAGGCAGAAGTTGTTGAGGGAACCTAGCACATGGAGTGGAGGGCAGGCGTGGGGGCAGAGGGGACGTGTCCTATTAGATTAGGCTGCCTAGAGAAGATCTAGGTAGGGAATTAACTCATAGCAGAACACAGCAATGAGGAGGTAATCGGTACTGTTTAGACCACAATGAGTTCATTCAGGATGAGTCTCCTCAGTTTAATAAGCTTAACCTACAGGGAAAAAGAATTTGAAAAAATGCTATTAGGTCAGTAGGTTAACACAAAATAAAGGCTGCCAGGTTACCTTGAAATTGCCTAAAGAACAATGCTATCAGTTCTTACTCTGAGTATCAAGAAGCTTAAAATCCAGTAGGAAATGTTTATTAATCTAAATACTTGGGAAAACTCAAGAAAATTTAACAACTCAGGAAATTTAACAAATGGAAAAATCTTTGGAGAAAAGTTTTGGAATTTCCCCTTCGGGAGAAGGCTAAAAAACAATTATAAGAGCTCGGCTCGGTGCCTGTAGCTCAGCGGTTAGGGCGCTAGCCACATACAGCAGGGCTGGTGGGTTCAAACCTGGCCTAGGCCTGGTAAACAGTAATAACCACAACTACAACAAGAACAAAAAAAGTAGCCAGGCATTGTGGCAGGCGCCTGTAGTCTCAGCTACTTGAGAGGTTGAGGCAAGAGAATTGCTTAGCCTAAGAGTTTGAGGTTGCCGTGAGCCTCTACTGAGGGCAACATAATGAAACTCTGTCTCAAAAAAAAAAAAAAAAAAAAGAGAGAGAAAGAATTATAAGAGCTCATTTAGTACATTAATAGCTTTTCAGGTCTAAGAGGCATGTTGGGTGATAATCCTAGGGCTTTAGGAGCAGACTTACTGAAATTGGCTATTTGTCATTATTTGACATTAGTTTAATATGCATCACATGCAAAGTGCAAAAGAATACATGTTAAAGATACTTCCTATTTTTGAGCTTATGTTTTTAGTAAAAAATTTGTGTTACTGGAAAAGTGAAAGTTTTTCAACTTTCCCCTCTTTTTTCCTGTATTGGGTAGATATTTAATCATTTCTTCTTAAGGATGCTCTGCATTTCCTTTGTAAAAAAGGAAAGAGAAGAGGTGAGATAAACAGGCTTGCAGTCAGATTTCAGTGATGTGTGGCACCCTGGATTTTAGCCAAAAGATTGAGGAAATGGCTATGACTCCATGTGTTCTGTGGTTTGGGGACAGTCTACCCATCTTGATACATTTTCCTCATCCCGTTTCTCAGAGATTTTGATTCTTTGGATGAGCAAAATGTGGAGAAGAATAACCAACTGGCCTTTGATATTGCTGAGAAGGAACTGGGCATTTCTCCCATCATGACAGGCAAAGAAATGGCCTCCGTAGGGGAGCCCGACAAGCTGTCCATGGTGATGTACCTGACTCAGTTTTACGAGATGTTCAAGGACTCACTCACCTCCAGTGGTAAGGCCCAGGAGGCACTAGTGCAGAAGCCCCCATGTGTAAAATGGGGATAATATATATAATTACATTGTGATATTCTAAGAAAAATGTTCGGCAAATGAAAACACTTAATAATAATCACTTAGTGATTCAGTTATTTACTACTTTAAAAATTACTATTGTTATTAATAAAGTATTAGAGTCAACAGAATTTATACCACCCTCCAGTGCTTTCCATCTTGTGTACTCTTATAGGCATCTATAGCTATTTCTGATAAGATATGTGGTTTTTACAACAGAAATCCATAACTCTAATGTTAATATGCCCATTCTGAGAGCGCTCCATTGTGTGCAGCTCAGAGCATGGCACTACATATACCAAAACCCAAGACCCCGGGGTAACTCCTGTTTCTCTTTCCCTCTTTGTCCTGAAGTAATTATCATAAAAGTGAGGCTTCAGGACTCTGCTGTAACTAATCATCCTGTGCAGATTCCACCTTTTGAAAAGTAAAAGTATAGGGTTTTGTAACTGAAGTAGATTGAGGGAAAGAGTGATTTTTGTTTACATAGATGGAAAAGAGAAGGCTCAGCACGTAGACCCAAGTGTGGTTTCCTCTGTGGAGCTCCCTCCTGGTATTCATGTGCTCTATCACAGCCAGTTATCCTTGGGAGCTTTCTGAGGGTCTGTGAGCCACCTACAAAGGAGAGTACTTCTGGTCAGGACTCTCTGGCACCCTTAAGAGCTGTCCTTAAACATTGTTGATTTCTGTTCACAGACACCTTGGACCTGAATGCAGAGGAGAAAGCAGTCCTGATAGCCAGTACCAAATCCCCCATCTCTTTCCTAAGCAAACTTGGACAGACCATCTCTCGGAAACGTTCTCCCAAGGTGTGTGGAGGAATCTTATACTGGCTGCAAAACTAATGGCAAGGTATGGTGACTAGAATAATGCAGTTTCCTTCCTCTCTTGGTACAGGATAAAAAGGAGAAGGACTTGGATGGTGCTGGAAAGAGGAGAAAGACCAGTCAATCAGAGGAGGTGAGAGTCACGTGGGATCTGTTAGAATGATAATACCGAATTGTACCTTTTTGGTTTAAATCTGTAATTCCCCATTGGTATTGCTAGATCTAGTCATACTCATCCTTTATGGGAATTTCTGTGGGCAAATACTTTTTCTCTGGGCCTTTGCCTGTGTTTAATTTTCTAGAGAGCATTCAGGGAAATAGAACACATGTGCACTCAGATCTTGTTGTCTGTTGGAGTCCTACATTTGGCAAAGGACAGTGGCTCTTCTGGGATATGACCTGACTAGCACAAGTCTGAGTACCTTTTTATACTACCCTGTGTACCAGAGTCTTGCTGACTCCATGTGGACATTAGAACCTTGAAGAGAACTACTGAGCTTGATCTAAAGCACAACTGCCAGCCTCCATGCTTGGGCCTGACCACATTTCTTCTTTGAGGGAAGAGCATTTGGAGGGGCCTCCTTTAACAGAGCTGGTTCTTGGGTGCTTGGTGTCCTTCAGGAGGAAGCTCCCCGGGGCCACAGAGGAGAAAGACCAACACTCGTGAGCACTCTGACGGATAGAAGGATGGATGTTTCTGTTGGGAACCAGAACAAAGTGAAGTATATGGCAACCCAGCTGCTGGCCAAATTTGAAGAGAATGCGCCTGCACAGTCCACCAGCATACGGAGACAGGTAAGCTCCATCTCACCACTCACCCATCCATATTCAGTCAGGCACATAGGAAGGAGGGGTCTTTAGAGTCAAGAGAGATGGGCTGTGTCACGGCCCCCCAGGTTCATGGGCTCAAGACCAGTGTCTGGCTTTCCCTTTGAGTAGGGTAGCTAGGTGGTTCAAAAGCTCACCTACACCTTCAGGGCTGCTTCATCCTCAAAATTCTGACGTGTCTGTGACAAGAATCAGCAGAGGGATCTAAAAGATGTGTATCTGTATCTGTATATCTGTGCATACATATATACCATGTTTCCCTGAAAATAAGACACTGTCGTATATTTATTTTTTCTCAGTGTCTTCATCTCCATGCCAAAATGCATGGCGTGGCATGCATTATTATTATCGGGATTGGGGTGATATTTAACAAATGCATAGAAATCCTGCTAGGACTTATTTTGGGGGTAAATCTTATTTTTGGGGAAACACAGTATTTATAGACATATTTGAATTATAAAAGAAGTACATGTTTATTAAAGAAAATGCTAAAAAATATAATAAAGGTAATTAAGGTGCCTATAATTCTGTTAATATTTTGCTCATTTCTCATCTTTTTTTAGGGCTTTCTTATTTTTATAGTTGAAGTCATTTTTAACAGTCACTTTTCTATTCTGCTGTTTATTTAACTTCAGGCATATTCCCATGTTGTTCCAAATTCTTTGGAAGCCCCTGTTAGAACGTGTAGGTACCCTGCTTTTCTTAACTGTTGCACTAGTATTGGACAGTTTAGTTGTTTCCTGAAAAAATACAGAAGTAAACATTCTTGCGATAAAGCTTCTGTGGTGTGTTGCAGATTATTTTCCTAGGATATCGCTATGAATATGAACTTTCTGGATGCTAAATGATATTCTCATAAGTCATATATCAGGCGTTAGACAGGAACATTTGACTTGAAGTGCCTTTGTTAGGGAGTGTCTAAAAGTCACTCAGACTTCATACAAGAGAAGGGGCTCATTTTGAGATTCACACCGAAAGTTTCTTGTAAACTCCCTGACAAGCGGGAAGAGCAGCTAGAGGGTAGGGGCCTACCCTCTCTCTGTGTTCTCATTCTGTCTCTTCTACATACTCATCGTTGCTGCGGACTGGACAGTGGAGCCAACTTTGTGTTGAGTCTGGCACAGTTCATTTCATCTCAAGTAGTCGTTGTACTCCGGCCTTCCCATGTGGTGGTTCACAGAAAAGAGGTTGCCTGGAGGCTCTGACAGCCTAAGGCCCAGCCCACATAAGGAAGATGAGTTTTCCATATCAGAATTAGTAGTTTAGACTCACAGAGCATTGAGTTTGGAAAAAGGATAAGGAGAATCATAGCTTCTGTTTTCCTTTTTTTTTTATTATTTGCTTTTTGTTTAGGAGGGAGGGTATTTCTTTCCTTTTGTGACTTTCTAAGTGTTGTTTGACCTTCCTCTCCCGCAGTTCTCAGGAGTGTGTGTTTGTCTTCCAGGAGTACCTTTTTGTGTCATCTACGTTGACATATTTTATTCTGTTTTGTCTCCATGTCCTGTCCCTGCCCACACTTGCCTGTGTGTCACAGCCGACACAAGTGCGTGGGGCCAGCCTGCCGTCCTGCAGCCTGCGTGAGCAGGGTCGCCCTGCTCCCACCCCTCAGTGGAAACAGGTAAAGGAGCTGCCAGGTGCCTGCACAGGCCTTCCCACCCCTGTCTTCCTCCTGAGCCAGGCATAGCTGAGGCCTGCACGTCAGAAGCCTGGTTCACAGGACAGGAGGTCTCCGTGCTAATTTGAGTACTGACTCTGGGAAGACATTTAGCAGATAGTGCTGATTTGAGTCAATGATTTGTTTAACTCCTTGGGATTTGAGAAATCAGTTAAAGAGTGGATTGTGTTGTGAATTTGGCTTGAAACTAGCTCAAGCTGAGTGGCAAATTATTCAGGTATCTCAGCCCCTGGGGTTTTGCTGTTGTCATGTTTTTCTCAAGCCACCTTTTTGCTGGCTAGATTGTCTCCTTGTGACTATTGGAGGGAAATTCCTGACTCAGACAAGTCTAAGAGTGGGGGTGGTAGAGACTTTCACATTAAATAGAAAAATGTTATCCAAGAACATAGTTTTGAACTCTCATTTTTGTTTGTTTCAAAGCCTGGACAAGGGTATTCATGGACACCTTTGGGAATTTTCACCAAAATCTTTGTAATGTCTCCTGGAAAACTGCTTATCCTAAGTAGTACCAGATAAAGTAGATGAAGACACCTGGTTTATGACAGAAAACCAGTGAGGGGAGTGGAGGCTGGCGCTGTATTTTCTCTCATGTCACAGCTGAGCAAGTTCCTGGTGTAGGGAGTGGAGCCTGGATAGGCTGTCCTGTGGTTTGTTATTGTTAGAATTTATAAGATGCTAAGTGGTCAGATGAATTGATCCTTGATTCCATCAGCATCTTCCACAGTCAACTCCACTAGCCTCTTATACTATGAAGTGATATCTCCTGGGGAGCAGTGAGTTGGGTTTTATTGAAATTGTACTCAGGGCAGAATGTTCCTTGCTAACTGTTCTTTTAATAATATGTCACATTAGGCCGGATAGGGTGGGTCATACCAGTGATCTCAGGCCAGTGATCCCAGTACTTTGGGAAGCTGAGACAGGTGGATCATTTAAACCCAGGTGTTTGAGACCACCTCAGCAACACTGTAAGACCCTGTCTCTTCAAAATACTAAAAGATTAGCGAAACATGGTGGTGTATGTTTGAAGTATCAGCTACTCACAAGGCAAAGGTAGGAGGATCACTTGAGCCCAGGATTTCAAGGCTGCAATGAGCTATGATCAGGCCACTGTACTCCCACTTGGATGACAGAGTAAAACCCTGTCTCTCTCTCTCTCTTTTTTTTTTTATTGACACACAGTCTCACTTTGTCACCCTTGGTAGAGTACCATGGCATTAAAGCTCACCGCAACCTCAAACTCTTGGGCTGAAGCGATTCTCTTGTCTCAGCCTCCCAAGTAGCTGGGACTATAGGTGCTCACGACAATGCCTGACTACGTGTTTGTAGATATCATTGTTTTAGCAGGCCCAGGCTGGGTTCAAACTTGCCAGCCCTGGTGTGTGTGGCCAGCCCCCTAACCACTGAGCTACAGGCACCGAGCCATAAAACCCTGTCTCTAAATAATAATAATAATAATAATAATAATTTAAAAAACCACATTAGGCTGGGTGCAGTGGCTTCCACCTATAATCTTAGCACTCTGGGAGCCCAAAGCAGGTGGATTGTTTGAGCTCAGGAATTTGAGACCAGCTTAAGAAAGAGTGAGACCCCATATCTACTGAAAATAGAAAAAGAAAAAAAAGGTGTTGTGGCAGGCACCTGTAGTCTCAGCTATTTGGGAGGCTGAGGCAAGAGGATCGCTTGAGCCCAAGAGTTTGAGGTTGCTGTGAACTATGACACCATGGCACTTTACATGTGGCAATAAAGTGACACTCTGTCTCAAAAAGAAAGCAAAAGAGAAAAACACATTAAAAGCAGGACCCATGAAGTAGAGATGGAACTTTGGAAGCAATGTCCAAATTCATACAGAAGCCAGCCTTCCTCTTTCTCTAGGCTTGGGGAGGTTCTTCTGAAAAAATGCTTCAGAAATTTACTTATATTTTATTTTGTTACCCTCTGCCTTGAAGTCTAGGTGGAACGCTAGACTCCTTTAGTGTTCATAAAGGTCACCTGAGATAGGAGGAGCAGAGAGGGAAGGAAGGAGAGGAGTAGCATACCCCAGTGAGTGAACATGTGCTGCCGGATGGAGCTTCTGGTTGGCTTGCTGAGGAGTCTCAGGTAGCAAGTGTGGCTTGAGGAGCTGGCCAGTCTAAGGCCTCAGTCCTGGTGGTCAGTTACACATGGGCTTTTTATCTGATTGATCTGTACCGAAGGGGCTCCAGAGGCTTAGTTTCTGTGGGACTGCTGTGTCTCCTGTTTCTGAAGGGTCTGAGAGCCTCCGACTGCATGCTGCATTCTCCCTGGAGAATGTTGTTAGTCATGGCCAAGGCCCCTTGTCTTCTGGATGATCATGATCCCAGTCAGTAGAGCAGAAGACTGGCAGGCTGAGGGGCAGCAAAATAGGACCATGAAGTCACATACAGGTTGTTCTGTGTGTCTATAGAATGGTCCCCAGAGATGGCAGTTAGACAGAGTCACTGGGTAGGTGGATGAACAAGACTTGGTAGGTGAGGAACCATGGACAGTGAGCATCCTGTGAGGTTCTCAGGTGCTTTAGGTTATATAAAGTCAGGAATTAAGAATTTGTGAGGCTGCAGGGAGGTAGCACTGTGAACCGATTCATAGTTCTTACATCCAAGTGATATGTTCCATATTGACATAGAATGTTTTCTCAGCATTAAATCATGAATCTTGGCCTTCTAATTTTATTCCCCCAAAGACAGTTGGAGTTGTACTGCCAGGTGCTATAGAAAGTTGGGGACAGAGGAACTCCAGTGGTGCCTGGGTCCTGTTTGATGCACGCTCATGGTTGAGCCCTGCGTCTTCCTTCAGGAATAGGGGCTGACTGGCAGCATCTCACTGTGGCTCACTTTGTGCTTCTCTTGAAGTGGATCAGACTGGGACAGGAGAGCGTGGCAAGCACGGCAGTGACGGTTGAATTGACATAAGCACCAGTTTCAGCTTACGTCATAGTGTGGAAGAAGGGAAATGAATAACAATTCTACCTGCCAGTGACTTTTATTTTCACCTTCCTCTGTCAACACTGTGCCTCTTCCCTTCCCCACCCTTTTGCCTTTTGATCTCAGAAATGTGTCATGAAGGCCAACAGTGCATTAACCAGCCTTGGTTTGGAAGTAGATTGTCGTGTGAATTAGGAATAAACAACAGAGCTGTTTTCCCAGGTCCCAAAACTTCATAGCCTCCCTCCTTCTCAGGCCTTACTTGCATCTATTCCATCTGAATAGCCATCTGAGCCAGGGATCGAGAATTCCTGTGGAAAGGACCAGAGAGGCCTAGGAATGTGGGATTGTTGATGTGGTGCTGAGGGGCTTCTGAATGAGAGGCAGACTCCTAAGGATGAGGGTTTGCAAGGGAGAGGGGCCACAGTGAAGGAAAGCTGTGGACATGTGTATGTATGGCATTCCATTAGGGAAAGACATTTGATTTTTTTTCTATCTTGTTACCTGTACTTTCTTGTATTTCCTTGGTTGTTTTCCAGAACTTCTGAGTGTGTGTGTAGGGTTGAGAAGAGAGCAGTGCTCCTTTGCTGCACTGGGTGTGTATATGACCCAGCCCTGGGAGGGAGCCTCTGTACTTGCCTCAGGGTGGGGGGCTTGTTAGTTTTTTCTTTCCACTCATAATCCAGCCCATTTCTTCTGTTCCCTGTTAAAATCCTTGGTCCCTGGTATCTGGAAAGTGCTACACTACAAGTTCTAACCAGCTGCCCAGAAGGTGCAAGTCCTCCCTGGACGCCAAGACACTGACAGGCCACCCTCTTAGATAGCCAGGGGTTTGGTGTTGAAGATGGAGGGCAAAGAAGGGGCCTGTTGGGACATTCTGGCAAATGCCCTTTAGTCCTCCAAGAACCCGCCTTCCTGTGGTTACTGTTTTCAACAATGTTCTCTTTGTTTGTGTCTATTGGTATAAAAGCGACGGGAAAAGGAGCGTTCTCGGACCTGCCCCAAAAAAGTGATCACGCTCTCTCCTCCCCTTACTCCACCTCCCTGTCGGGCACGTGGCAGCCAGCAGGTGATCCTCTCTGCATGCTCTGTTGTCCTGTCTGCCTCTTCTTGCCTTCCTGTGTAGGTAGCTAGTGTAGGCACCAAATCAGAACTTACTTTTTTCAATGGTAACTGTTAAAAACAATAATAAAAAAGAAAGACCATCTGTAGGAACCATTTGTAGCAGAAGCCACTTTTATTAGTGCAGATGAGCAAGTCCTGACTGGCAATGTAATGCATTTAAATCCTGAGTAGTTTTATCTAGTCCCACATCATGGGAAAATGACCATGCAATCACAAACTAAAATTTAAACTGTATTATTCACTATACTTGTCACAGATCTGAGGCCCGGAAGCTCTAAGAGCAGCACATTTTTCTAAGACCCCCTTTAAAGTGGTTGTTTTTTTCTTGCTGCCCAACGAGATGTGGTTAACATGGGCATTTGGGAGCGTTTATAGGACTTTACTACGTGAGATTGTTCCCTTCTGATTCTGAGTCCCCTGCCCTCTGCTCATCCAGTCCTTCTCCATCCAACCCACTTGCCCTCCAGGCAGATTATTCAAGAACTGCTTTATAGAGTAGACCCCCACAGACATGGTTAATGAGGACAGCAAGTGTCCATTTGTGACAAACACTTTCATATGAAGTTTATTTGTAGAATGGCTTTGGCTGGCATTTGTAGTATATTCCTATAAAATAAAATGCTAATTTCAGGGGCAAGAGCTATAGAAAGACCTTTTCTCCGTTAAGGTGATCTTTTTAAAAGGTGGCCACTAGTAACATGTCTAATTTTAAAGGCCCAGCCTACGTCCACGAGTCTAAGAACTGAGCTGTCATAGGCTTAGTAACTGTCCTATGCTTCACCTCTAAATAAGAGCTAACAAAATAGGAGCATTGATTATGACCCAGGCATTATTCTGAGTTCTTTTCATGTATTATCTCAGCCAATTCTCACAACAGCT